CCCACGCCCGCCCGCCGGCCCGCGAGCGGAGCCGGAGCTCGGCCCACATGGAGGTGCTGGAGAGCGGGGAGCAGGGCGCCCTGCAGTGGGACCGCAAGCTGAGCGAGCTGTCGGAGCCCGGCGACCCCGAGGCTCTCCTGTACCACACGGTGAGCGCCCGCGGGGCGGGGAGGGCGGCGCGAGGGGCGCGCTGTCAGCGGGGGGCCGCGGGGCACCGGGAGCCGGGATGGGGCGTTTGGGAAGAGGCGAGCGCAGCATGGGGGCATCGGGAGAGGCGTGCTGTTTCTCCCTGAATAGGTGCCGCTGGGGGCCGGCCCTGTAAACTCTCAGTGGTAGCGGTGCCACTGTTGCTGTAGCGATTTGTACCCCTCGCCCCCAGGCTTTGTCACACCTGGGATGCCGTTTCCTGTGGCCGTCGGTGCTGTGAAGCGGGAGGGGGCCAAGGTGTTTTGAGAATAATAGGCCTCTGTTCCAGTTAGGTTTTTGTGGGAAGGGTTTTAAAATCTAGACTAAACAAAGTAGCATTTTCTTTCCTTCGCTGTCATGTTCTCTTTTCCTTTACTTATTGGTATTTCAGCAAGTACGCCCGTGTGTGTGTGCGTGTGTGTCCCTGTGCGTGTGCATGCCTGTGTGTGTGTCTGTGTGTGCATGTGTGTGTGTGTCTCTGTGTGTGTGTGTATGCATGTGTGTCCGTGTGCATGCCTGTGTGTTTGTCTCTGTGTGTGTTGGAAAGGCCCCTTCGCATTAGGACGAAAATTGCTTTATTTGGCTCCTTTGAGTGTATAGCCAAGAACTCTGCTTCCCCCCCATCCTTCAGAGGAAAGATGGGCAGAGGAGTGTGGAAAGTCTGAGGCAGTGGCATGTTTCCGAAAGTCTTTGGAGAAGGTGGGACAGCTCACCAGTTCCTTCAGTTTTATGTCTCAGAGACCCCCTTGGGGATTAAGCTGTCACCGGGCAGAGACATTTCTTTGGAAGTGTTCCATTTCAATTTTTTTTTTTTTTTGGTATTAAATTTGCAAAATGAAATTTTTTTCCCAGCAGCCAGCGCCGATTAATGACTTTTTGTGGGGCCTTTGTTTCTTTTTTATAAACAAAGAAGTTTGTGTGTGTGTGTGTGTTTGTGTGTGTCTGTGAGAGAGAGAGAGAGAGAAAGAGAAAACACTAACGAGATAACGAGAGGCTTGGTTGTTTCCCCTTCATGATTCTTTTAATGGGGTCAGTGCCAGGATATTTGAAACTTTTGCAAAATGGCCTGCAGGCTCCACCTCTTTGACCTTTGCCTCTGTCTGACGTTATTTTGGGAAAAGGGATGAGGGCCTCCCTATGATTCCCACCAAAGCATTTGTGGGGGCTGAGAATGGCTTGTTTAAAAAATGCAGAGTGCAGGGCTGGGAGGGCTGGCAGTTCATGCCGGGGCACAAGCCAGATGTGGAGTGTGATCTGCCAGGCTCTGCTCACTGAGCTTGTCCCGAGGAGACCGCGTGGGCCGCATTTGGATTGGGGGCCCAGATGTGCTTCCTGTCGTCAGTACAGAACTTAGAGCACGTTGGCCCTCAAAAATCTTCTGATAATTGGATGCTCCAGATGTTTCTCCTGACATGGGCTGTGTTTTAACCATGTGCGGAGGGCAGCTCTTCTCTTTTGTTCTTAGACACACTGAAAAATGTCTCATCCAGCAGCTGTAATGTCACAGCTTTGGGGTTGTCTTTGAGCTGGGGGCATGAATTATGCACAGGCGTCCACATTTCCTTTATGGGGCCCTGTGACTGGCACTTGTGAGATCACAGGCCTGGGTTTGAGATGGTGCCTGTGACAGTGACATTCACTCCAGGCAGAACCTCTTGGGCCGGCTCTAACATTCTCGTGCACTGTTTCAGGGATACATTCAAGCCTTACGGTCCTTTTGGTATTAAGGGCTTGATTTTTCTATGTCATTGTCATGAAGCAGTGATGTGTGATTATTTTTCTCCCGATTTTATTTTTTAAGTGACTTTATGTTCACCACATAGGGACGCGTCTCTCTTCTGGGCAGCTCACTCATATAAAATGACACGATTGCCTCAAGTCTTTGCCAACAAACTGTGTATACGAATTAGTGTTGTAAGAGGTACTGGATTCAGCAGCACGGACAACTGGATGAGATTCCTTCGAAACTAAGGGGCGTTTGGCAGAGATGTGAAAATAGATAACTTCCTCATCTGTTTCTTGAACTCCGTTGGGTATCTCATTGCCGAGCTGGTTATTACTGCCACTTGTCCATAATGTGGAATGGACTGACCTCCAGGTAGAAAAAGGATGGCCCGAGTGTGCATTGATTCAAAGGTTTATTTATTCTTTTAATGAACGGTTATTGAATGTCTTCTGTGTGCCAAATACTGTTCTAAATGGCTGTGATACATCAGTAAATAAAAAACAGGCAAAAATTCCTGCCCTTGAGAAGCTTACAGTCTAGTGTGTGTGTGTGTGAGTGTTTGTGTGTGTAGGGAAAGATAAACAAATGACAAATGTAATAAGTAAGTGAATTAGCACGTTAGACAGTGTAAGTGCTATGGAAAAAGTAGAAGTAGAGCCAGGTGAGGGAGACAAAGGAAGAGCAAAATAGGTTATTGAACTGAGTGATCAGTAAGCCTCAGATACCAGTGGATCTGAACCAAGGCTTGATGTGGGGGGAGAACATTAACAAGTTGAAAAGCCAGAGCAAAGGTGTTACGGTGGGGGGAGAAATGTCTGGCATGAGCCTATGGCAACATCATTTTCTGTTTCAGATTCCCCCCACTTTGGTCAGTTATTTTCCTTGTACGTGCAGGTAGCTTCTGAGACACAGTGCTTGTGTTTGGAATGACCTAGTAGAACTTTCCAGTTGAGTGAGTGGATTGGGCGTTACATAGGGATAGGACAGTCTGCAGGAAGGGCAAGGCACAGATGTAAGTGGGAAAGGGGTAAGACGTGCTAACGGCTACCACCTGTTGAGTATTTATTATCTGAAAGGGAGGGCTGCCTGCGCAGCCCCCCAGGCCCCCGCCCTTGGTGTGATGCTGTGCTGTCACCATCCTTAGTAGTTTCTGAACAACTTTCCGTTTTTGCATTGGGTCGCACAGATCATGTAGCTCGTCCTACTATAGGGCATTGTAGTTCGTGCTTTTCAAAAAATTATACCATTGAACCCACTTAATGACCCAATGAAAGAGTCATTTTTATGATTTTCATTTTCCAATTAAGAAAACAGAGGCTTAATGAGCTTAAGCGACTTGGCAAAAGGTCCCGTAGCTAATTATTGACAGAGCCGGGATTTCAATTCAAGTCTGCCTGCCTCCAAAGCCCAAGTTCTTGCTCACCGCTCTGTATGAATGAAGGATCCAGAGTTAACCAGAAAGAACAGTCAGAGGGTGGGAGAAGGTGACTGTGCAGTCAGAACCTGCTGAGCCCCGAGGCAGCTAATGTTTAACTGAGGTGGCGGTGCCAGTCACCAAGCCTTCCTAGCGTGATCGCTCTGTTTGCTCTAAATAGGGATTTAGCTACCACATGCATGATTGCTAATGCTCTGTTTTAGCAAACCTGTCACCTACCAGATTTTAAAAGCAGGAGGTTTAAGTTGCCTGAGGCTAGGATTTTAAGGTCTCTCAAGGGCCTTCTGTGTGAGCCATCAGGAGCAATGCTTTCCTCATTAGTTTAGTTATGAAGACTTCTTGGTCCTGAATGACAAAGGCTCAAAAGTCTACAAAATAGTGAAGCACAGAACAGAGCGAATGTGGACTTGCTTGTTAGATCCTGAATTATTAGGGTTTTGGGCTCCCTCTTGAAACTTAAAAAATAGCTCCTCTACAGATGATGAAATATTATTTTAAATCAGAACTTCTGTGAAATTGACTTGGGGGGCTAGAGGTCAAGAGAGGGAGGGAGGGAGAAAGAGCTATTTCCACTCAATCCCTTTGTACTGTTCTAATTTTTACCTCCTGAATGTATATAGAAAATGAAAAATGACAATTTAAAGGCACTGCATAAAACTGGACTAGAGGCAAGTTTAGCCTGAGTTAATTTGAGGGTAGAGGGGGATCTGGTGTGGTATTAACGTTCAACACCTCAACACCACTCCAGTTGGGGAGGCCTTGGGTGTAGAATAGAGAGACAGGAGTGCTTGGTGGGAGAGGGCCCTCAGGGTGGAGGATTACCAGTGTGTTTGTGTATGATAAACTTTGTGATCTTGGTACCTTATTTTATTTTATTTTTGGTAACTTTCTTATATCTCAGTTTAGCAATGAGGAAAACAGGAATTTTTATCAATTATTGCAATGGTTTTATTTTATTTTTAAAAGTATACAACAGGAACTACCAAGTCTTTGCAAAGATAACTACAGTTCTGCTTGTTTTAAGTGCAAAATTCCTGTAAATCCAGTTCTTTGTAAAATAACTTAGTGGTTATGCTACTTAAATTTTGCATCCAATTGGATCTTAAAGTGAAATGACTGATCCCAGCCAGTGCTACGTGGGGAGTTAAGGGGATGGTCAACCTGCCTGGTGTCCGGATGTGAAAGCCATCTGGTTTCCACATCTGTCACTGATTGCCAGGATGGAGGTGGTTGATCTCACTGGCTGGTGGTTTCCCCTTCCTCCCCGCCGGCCTAGAGATGGGTAGGGCTCCAGTGGGACGCTGAAGCTTGTGGTTTGTTGTCTGTCTCCTGTTGTCCTTGTGGCTTGAGGATATCATTACTTCTGGTCACCTGACCTCCACAGACTGAATAAAGGTAATGATTTCCAGTAGGAGACAAAACTGTGGAATATAATTTGTCTTAAAGGCCCTCAATTCACCTTTTTTTCACCTTCATCTCTTTTGTGTTTCCCTTGTTTCTTGGACCCCAGGTGCTCACTGTAATAATGTTCTCTTTACAACTTCCCCTCTTAAATTTCCTCTCAGGAAAGTTTTGATAAGCTTACAGTATTTAATAAATAATTCAGCTCAAAAGGATGAATTTCCAAGTGGAGCATTTAAGGCAAGTCAGGTAACAGGGAAGAAATATTTGAGGAATTGGGAGGGGGAGCCCTCACTACCCCTCTACTATTCCATCCATGTGGCTGATATCCATAAGGTAGCATTGCAAATGTGTTGCTTATTTATCTGTGATCTAAAGGATTTTTATTGGCTTGGTGAAAA